CCCGTGTGGACGTCAGTGCTCGAGGATTCTGGACGCGGGGACAGCGAGCTTTCTTCGACATCAGGATTTTTGATCCCATGGCCGCTTGTCACCGTAACCTAACTCTCGATGCTGCACATAGGAGGAATGAGAACGACAAGAGAAGGGCATATGGGGAGAGAATTCAAAACGTTGATCAAGGCAGCTTCACTCCTCTAGTGTTCACAACCTCTGGTGGGATGGGCCCAAGTGCAAGATGTTTCTACGCCAGACTCGCGGAGTTGATCTCCGAACAGAAGCAGCAGCCCAGAAGTTATGTTACAGCCTGGATGAGATGTCGACTGTCCTTCTCTCTCCTTCGGTCGGCTTTGCTCTGCCTCAGGGGAACGAGAGCCTCTGCCCCTACTCCGACAACTGCTGCAGATATCGACTATGAGGCTACAGTCACTGAATGCCGCATGGATCTGCAGCTCAACTAATTTAACACAGATAGGATAGTTTCTTATGTATTAGGATATTTAATATTAAGGTAAATAAATGGTGGCGAAGGTGTGGCTATTGGGGGAGGCTGGAGGCCACGTATAAAAAAAAAAAAAAAAAAAAAAAAAAAAATTGATAGTAGTAGTATATTTTAATATTAAGGTAAATAAATGGTTTGCGAAGGTGTGGCTGTTGGGGGGAGGGCTGGAATGATTATAAAAAAAAAAAAAAAAAGTAGTAGTATTAGTAGTGGTAGTGGTGTGTGTGTGTGTGTGTGTGTGTGTGTGTGTGTGTGTGTGTGTGTGTGGAGGGGTGTTGTATGAATGTTTGTGGCCGCTCGTGTCAATATGTATGTATTTAAAATGATTCTTTGTTCGTAGGTACATTAATATGGTATATCTATATCTATATCTATATCTATATCTATATATATATATATATATATATATATATATATATATATATATATATATATATATATATATATATATATATATATATATATATATATATATGAGAGAAGAGAGAACCAGAAACCCAAGAGAAAAGAAAAAGGGCAGACAAAAGGAAGAGACAGAGACAGAGACACACAGACAGACAGACAGACAGACAGACAGACAGACAGACAGAAAGACATACAGACAGACAGACAGACAGACAGACAGACAGACAGACCTGGTGCCTGCTGATTAATGTGAGGTGAAGGTGTTGCTTGTGTTGCCTACTGAGTGTGTGTTGAAGTGTGGGGAGTGTTAGTATGCCTGTATCTCTCTCTCAAGATAACATAATTTAATAAAGAGAAGAAACACATGGAGACAGATAAGTGAGAAGAAGTGAGGAACGACTGAGAGTAAAACACGCGAGGAAAGACAGAGTGAGAGAAAAAGAAAAGGCCTAGGAGACTTCCGCTCGATAAATGAACCTTTTGTTTCTCCATCTGCCGGCTAGTGTTTACCAGCCCCCCCCTCCCCCCCTTGTTGGTTTACCTGCCTGCAACACCTGTAAACACACTTAAACACAGATATACATACATACATACCTACATTTACACACACACATACATACCTACATTTACACACACACATACATACATACATATTTACACCATCTACTACACAGCCACCGGGAGAGGATGGTGTGAGGGTCTATGACAGTCTTCCACCAGACGTCACCTCCGCCATTGAATAAGACACACTTGAGAGAAACAGCCCAGAAAATGGTTTAGAAAAGTGTTAAAACTAGACTATCCACTCTATCTCTCTCTCACCCTCTCTCATCACTCTCACCCTCCACTCTCCCCACCCTCTCTCATCACTCTCACCCTCCACTCTCATTACTCTTACCCTCCACTCTCACCCTCCACTCCCCCCCTCTACCCCTCACCTCCCCCTCACCCTCTCTCCCCTCCTCACCCTCCTCTCTCCCCTCTCACCCTCCCCCCTCACCTCACCTCCACCCTCACCCTCCTCTCACCCCCTCTCACCCCCACCCCTCACCTCTCTCACCCTCACTCTCACCCCCTCTCCACCCCTCCACCTCACCCCTCTCTCACCCTCCCTCTCACCCCTCTCTCACCCCTCCCTCTCCCCCCCTCTCACCCTCCCTCTCCCACCCTCCCTTCACCTCTCTCACCCCTCCACTCTCACCCTCCACCTCACCCCTCCCTCTCACCCCTCCACCCTCACCCTCCTCACCCCTCTCTCCTCCCCTTCCCTCACCCCTCCCCACCCTCACCTCCCACCCCTCACCCTCCCACCCTCACCCCTCCCACCCCTCACCCCTCCCACTCTCACCCCCCTCTCTACCCTCCACCCTCTCTCACCCCTCCCACCCCTCACCCCTCCTCTCCCCACCCCTCCCTCTCACCCCCTCTCTCCCCACACCCCTCCCACCCCTCACCCTCCCTCTCCCCCCTCTCCCCCCTCCCCACCCTCACCCCTACCTCCCTCTCTCACCTCCACCCCTCACCCTCCCACCCCCTCCCACCCCTCACCCTCACCCCTCACCCCCTCTCCCCACCCTCTCTCCCCTTCCTCTCCCCTCCTCTCTCCCCTCCACCCCCTCCCCCTCCCACCCTCCCACCCCTCACCTCCCTCCCCACCCCCCTCTCACCCCTCCCACCCCTCACCCCTCTCTCCACCCCTCCCACTCTCACCCCCCTCTCTCACCCTCTCCACCTCCCCTCACCTCTCCTCCACCCCCACCCCTCACCCCTCCCTCTCACCTCCTCTCACCCTCCCACCCTCACCTCCACCCCTCCCCACCCCTCTCTCACCTCACCTCTCTCACCCGCCCTCCATGTCACGTCCTGCTGCCCCGTGTTTACCTCTCACACACTCTGTTTCTCTCTACAGTATGTCTGTCTGTCTCTCACCTTCACCTCCCTCTCTCTTTCTCTCTGTCTGTCTGCCCCGTGTTTACCTCTCACACACTCTGTTTCTCTCTACAGTATGTCTGTCTGTCTCTCACCTTCACCTCCCTCTCTCTTTCTCTCTGTCTGTCTGTCTGTCTCTCTTTCAATTTCAATTTACCTCTCACTTTCACCTCTCATTTCCTCCCCTCTCAGTCTCCCCTTCCCCTCCATTTCTCTCTTAGCTTTAGGTCTCCCCTCCTTTCCTCCATTTCTCACTCTCCCCCTCTCTCCCATCTCCCAGTTTTATCTCTCACTCACTCTTCCATTCTCCTCCATTTCTCTCACTTTTATCTCTCCCTTTCTCTAACCTCTCTTATCGTTCTCTCACACTTTCTCTCTCCGTCCCACTTCTCTCATCCAATCTATATTTCGCTCTCACTTTTACTTTTATCAGTTACATACACACATACAGGTCAAGATCACACACACACACACACACACACACACACACACACACACACACACACACATATGTTCGCTTCACAGTAATATACATACATACACAACACACACACACACACACACACACACACACACACACACACACACACACACACACACAGCAATGATTTAATCTAGCCTCCCGATGCACCTCACTTGGCTCAACTATTTCCATTTTTTGTTATTAAATCCCTTACGGAGTACACGGCTGTTTATAGGGGTTTAGCACACCAAAATGGCCGCCAGGGTGGTGTGGGGTACCAAAATGGCCGCCCAAACCCCTTACACATACACACACAAAACCCCACACACACACCTCCCCCACACATACACAATCCCCCCACACATAAACAACACACACACAACCACCCCTCCACACACACACACACACACACACACACACACACACACACACACACACACACACACACACACAGACTCTCAGTGGCCAACACACAAAGACGCAATGAATATTAAATTTCTGCTTTATACATAAATCCATCTGTAATATACAACTAAGGCTAAAATAATCCTGGAATTATGCAAATCAGATTAAACTACACCTGAATACATGCAAATTTATTTTACAAACCTTCATGAACTTTATGGTTTTATAGGAAGAAAATCACAAAAAAAAAAAAATTACAAAAATAATGGTTATAAAATCCCCACAAAATAAAAATAATAAAAATCACAACGATATATTAATAGAAATCACACAAATATAATATGCCCAGAATGTAATAAAAATCCCCAAAATCAAAACCAAAGTAAAAGTAAAAAAATCCTAAAAATTTAAACCAAAATGAAATAAAAATCACAATTATAAAATAAGTAGAATTACATTCCCCATATTTTGTTTATAGATGAAATATTACAACGTGGAAAATATTATACTATTATTATTATTATCATTATTATTATATTATTATCATTATTATTATATTATCATTATTAATATATTATTATCACTAATATTATTATATTTATTATTATTGTTATTATTATTATTATTGAAGGTTTGTGATGAAAGAGAGCTAACGCAAGCGAAGACTTTGTACATGGTGAAGTGGTGTATTTTGTGGTGTAATAACGAGACCATTGATCCTAGGTGATGTGATAGTGTTGTGTGTGTGTGTGTGGCTCACCTAGTGTTACATATAGTTTAGGTCAAGTCACGTCTCGCTATTCCCACTTTTTACGCCCACCTGTATTTTGTCTTGTCTCTCTCTCTCTCTCTCTCTCTCTCTCTCGTTGTCAATACACAAGAACTCTTACAGTATCTATGATGAGAAGGAACAGACTCTCCTTTAAAACCTTCACCTGTGTTTAGACTTAACATTTACCTCTGTTTTATGCCTTTTAACATAAACACATTTTTAACATCTACTAAACAAAATGATCTTGACTATAACACATGCTGATAGAAATTGAAATTTAGTGATGATATGAGGATAGTAATTAACATGTTGATGGGTGTTGTCTTAAAATATAGCAGATGTTAACCGCTGTTGTTAATATTCAACTTAAAACATGTGTAAACAGGTGCTGCTGAGATTTACAATAACAGGTGTTTATAGTTATGATAATCACAGGTATGGACACATGTTGTCAACAAGTAGGATAGTTGTGTAAATAAGTAGGACAGGTGTAATATAAATAAGTATAGGTGTTGATGTTGTTGCAGGTGTGGTGGAGGAGGACACACAAGAGCCTCTCATCACCCCACGAGTTACTTGAGGACTTAGCCACAAGAGGCTCAACAACTCCCCCACAACTACCACCGCTGACGACCACGACGACCTACCTGAAGGCGTCGACGACCACAAGGGCCCCCCACCTACAAGCGTTGACTACCTCGAGAGCCACCTGACGCCGCTTAAAGCTACCCATCCTACTTCATCACGGACAATGATGAGAGATAAGTGGTGAAGGTCCTGCTTGTGTCTACCTCCGGGATCTGTTATTGGTTACTGGGGCCCGTGGTATCCGGGTGATCTTAGCTGTGATTGGCTGCTGAGGTCCGTGACACCCCAATGATCTTCACTGTGACTGGCTGCGTTACGTGCGAGTTTGACAATGATGTGATTGCTCGTCGAATTACGTAGAAATAACAGAACTTTGCAGATTATGTTGGTGATTTACCGAGCAGTGTGGTCGTTGTAGGCAGATATATCCTTTTAGTGTTGAACTGAATCCCATAAGTTGCCAAGATGCAAGTGTCAACAACTATGAGAGTACCGAGAGAGATGTGGCCATGATGGAGGTGTCAGGTAACCCACCTTGCCCACCAGGACCCACCACCTGCCTGCCCACCGCGACGCCCACCACCACCCAGGCAGATCTCATAGTCCTCCACCGCCCCACTGAGTTGTCGCCAGACTCAGGGAATGGCGAAGAACTGGATGAGTTTGATCCTTTGAAATCCCCGGCAGTAGTTTTGGAGGCGAAGCGAGAGGTCAGTAAAGGTATATATAGACCCGGGGGGCCGCTAACTCGGTGTAACAGTAGCGAGGCGGCCCACAGCTGTGGCTGTCCTCCCCAGGAGGAGGACTCAGCTGGTGGTGAAACTCATCAACAGGGAGACCAGGTCCTGGGGTCCAGACATAACCAGACGACGAAGATGATAACTTACGTGGCGGAAAAGCCGGATGTGTTCCGGCTGAGTCTACAGCCGGAGAGAACAATGAACAGTGAACAAGAGGCACAGATGACAGCCCATTCTGTGCTAGCGAGCAGAGGTAAACAGCCTCACGGGTGTAGAGGAGAACAATATCCCGCGGCGGCGTTTAACTTTGAGTCCCTGGAGTCATCCCTTCTCGCCTCCTGTAGCTCACCCTTCCACTGTGGGCCTTTCTCCACCTCCTGTGGCTCTGTTGGCCGGCTCACCAATGGTCCACAGACCAACGGGCCCTTTAGTCTGGCCGAGGATGGCGACTCTGGCCTCCAGGTGAGCCCCTCCACTCAACCTTATCAGCTGGAGGAGAGTAAGAGAGACGGTAGCGTCAAGCCCTTCAGCTTCAGCTTACCGTACGAGGCACTAACTCATACACTTGACAAAAAATCATCGTCGAGTTCCTGTGATATTTCGTACTGTAGCAGTGCCTCTAAGCCTTCCACCACCTTCAGGAACTCAAGACCCGGCTCCCGAGGCGTCCCTGCCAGAAGGTATACCAACCCGGAGGTAGTAAGGACTCAGCCGACGTCAGGGGGGCTACTAACCACCTCCTGTGACCTTATGGCCTCTCCTCCAGGACAGTGTGTGTGTATCAATCCCGGCACCAGTCACGCCTGCGCGCCCAGGCTGTCCCACATGTCCTCGCGGGGCATCCTCAACCCGCTGTTCGAGCACGACAGCTGCGCCACACACGTCACCTACACCTCGATGCCTTTATCACCCAGAAAGTTTTCTCTTGATCTTGGATTAATGTCAAGAAACTTTGATCTGCCTGAGTTCCCCGTTCAGCCTCTGACTAAGATAACTCTTCCTTACTCTCTCCAAGAGCCTCCGATAAACACCACCACGACCATGAGTCTTCACTGTCGTCCTCGAGAGACTGTTGGTGGAGACTCAAGTAAACAGAGTTGTTGTAGACACTGTGAGCAAACACCGCCCGTTTTATCATCATCAGACAACCTTCCCTTCCAGTTCCACGACCCTACGGTGAGCTCCCCGTCAGTAACATTACACGCCAGCACCGAGGCTCTACACGCTCACACTCTACCTGTGAAACAATCTCAGCCTGTGACTGACCCTGAGACTATAGCGTTTGGAGATGATCACGTGACCTTGTCTGACCTGCCCACGACGTCAGGAACACTGTTCAGGTCAGCAGAGGGGGCCAAAAAGCCACCTGTTGTGACCACCCCGGACTGGTTCAGCTTCTTGACGCCCTCCCAGGACGCCTACACACAGAAGCTCTTCACCCCGGGCGACCTACACGACGAGCTGCTCTACCCGGCGCCTTATGGTCGCACCTCAAAGGTCTACCAGAACATCAATGCCCGCGAGGCAGACTTTGTCCTCCACAGACCTAACAGGAAGCCCAGAACAGAGCCTCTACCTTCCTGCCCTCCTACAGCGTCCCCCAGCCACAAGACGGAGGTGGAGATCGCCGTAGGTGGCATCATCGAGCCTCTCGCTACAGAGGACGAGGAGGCACTGAAGGAGGGTGCCAGGGAGAGTAAGAAGGCCAGTCTGAGTGAGAGAAGAAACAGCAGTATAGAGAAGATCTTTATACCCAAGCCAAGTGAGACTCTCGACTCCGTCATCAACGTCAAGATCGACAACTTTGATAGAGATGAATATGTCAAGTATAAAAAGACATTCAGTGAGACAGACGCTCTCATCTCCGAATGTCTGAAAAACACTACCGCCCCACAGTCTACCTACCCCCGCCCCACGTCACTAGATATACCCAAGTATAGCCAAAACTATAACGACAAGATGACTGTCCTTCCAGACCCACTTACGGTGGCTAAGCACTCAAACAACAAGGGCAATGTACGTAATGTAAATAAGGACAAGAACAAGCTTAATAAAGGACCATATAGTCACGGTCAGGACAGTACTGGTGGTCAATCATCAGTGGTTAAGAATGACAGTAGTAACATCGATCTAATGTCTCCTGAGAATGAACTGAAAAAGGAACAAAACCTAAAGGATAATAAACACCTTACCACCACCACCTCCCTCCGTCACCCATCACTACCAACTACCCTCACCCTCTCACCCATCAAATCGCCCCGTAAACAATCCCTCCCTACTGAAGCAGAACTCTTGGGCAGGAGACGAAGTAAACCCATCAGGAAGTTTAGCCTCTCAGACTACCAACAGCCTCTAGATGTCATCGCTTCAGGAAGAGGAACGTTCTCCCCCGTGCGAGAGGCCGAGGAGGTTAATTTCTGCCTCAATGATGACTTTGCCAGAAGAAAAGATAAGGGCAAGAAGCACTCATCTAATCACATTGTTGCTAAAGATTTCTTCAACTCGTTTTACTCACCACAAGACGAGGACGAGGACAAACTTTTAGCGAGACAGAAAGCTAAAACTAAAGCTACATCATCATCATCATCATCGTCGTCGTTATCCTCAGCTACAAAGTATGTCGGGGCCAACAGGCAACACTCGGGACACAAAGACAACGGTGACAGGGCCAACAGGCAACGCTCAGATCACAAAGACAACAGTAGCAGAACCAACAGGCAACACTTGGGACACTTAGACAACACCAATGAACACACCAACAGTTCCAGATCAAAAGAAACAACATCAAAGACGCCTCACCATCACCACCATCATCACCATCACCATCACCACGCTCAAGGAAGAAGTAGCAGCAGCAGGCAGGAAAAGGATGATGTTTCTGGAGATACCAAGACTTGCTCAGAAAAGTTGTGTCCACCAGAGTGTCCAGCAGAGTGTCCAGCAGCAGAGTGTCACGCAGAGTGTCCAGCAGAGTGTCCAGTAGAGTGTCCGGCAGAGTGTCCAGCAGAGTGTCCAGCAGAGTCTTCCAATGACCACACGAGGATCTCAGACTATCACAATAAGTGTCCTGAAAGATGTCCAGACTCTCCCACTGACCATAGGATCCCCGGACACGAGGACACGGTGGCAGAATGGTGTCCTGCCTCATTTAGTGAGCCAAGGACCTCAAGACATCACAAGAAAAGTGGAGAAAGATGTCCTACGTCTCCTACCACAAAGGATAAGAACAGGAAGTCGAAGGATGCCCCCCACAGTTCACCCAGAAAGTCACCCAAGAAAACGAAACGGCGGCCAGTGAAGGAATCCCACACCAATTTGGGGGCGCTGCTGAGTCCTGGGGAATTTGGAGGACCTGGGGGACGTGCTGGGGATCTCTTCACCAACGGAGATGACACAGCAGGCAAGATTTCCGAGGACAGACGCGGTACCTCCAGCCAGTGGACGACCCCCGTGGTGCCCTACCAACCCCTGGTGGACATGGTCACCCCTACCACACCCGACGACCCCCACCACCCTCCTGCGGCTACCGGAGCTACCAGGTAAGACTACTGTGGTTAATATTACTATCACAACCAGGTGAGAGCTGTGAGGTTGTTTTTACTACCACCTTTATTACCAGTCACTGGATCAAAAAATAATATAACCTAACCTAACCTAACCTAACCTAACCTAACATAACCTAACCTACCACCTTTATTACCAGTCACTGGATCAAAAAATAATATAACCTAACTTAACCTAACCTAACCTAACCTAACATAACCTAACCTACCACCTTTATTACTAGTCACTGGATTAAAAAAATAACCTAACCTAACCAAATAGCGCAGGTAAGGTAAGTGTTCCTAATCAACACTGCCTTTATCACCTGTAGCACCTGTTATGGGAGCAACCAGGTAAGGTCAATTAAGCCTTCAACTCTATTTTCATTAACACTATTAACTGTTACGAGAACTACCTGTCTTTATTTCATTAATCGTTATTGGTAAACATCCTACCTGTACTTACCAGACCAATAAGGTGAGTCAAGTAGCTATAATGTTTTTAATTAAATCTGTACCTGTGTTATGTGTTTCTTGTCTGACGGGAAGCTTAATGTGAGTGATGAAGATGATGATGATGATGATGATGATGATGACTGTTATTACACACACACACACACACACACACACACACACACACACACACACACACACACACACACACACACACACACACACACACACACACACACACACACACACACACACACACACACACACACACACTCCCTCAGTTGGGAATGGATTGTAGAGAAGGGGTTATGAGTTGGAGGGGGAGGGAGAGGAGGGGTACTACAGGAATGAAGGAAGGGAGGAAGAGAAGAGAAGAGGAGGAAGGGAGTGAGAGAGGAAGGAAGGAAGACTGAGAGGGTGAAGGGAAGAAGGGGGGACCGTCATAACTCGACCCTCTTCGGTATTTTTAATCATGGAGGAGAAGAAGAAGGATGTCACCACTCATTCATTCTTTCACACACAGGAATGTTCCCCCCCCCATGCTTTATTAACATCTATAGTGTGTGTGTGTGTGTGTGTGTGTGTGTGTGTGTGTGTGTGTGTGTGTGTGTGTGTGTGTGTGTGTGTTCAGTTCCCATAAAACAGTATGTTTACTTCCCTCTATCCTTCTCTGCCTCACAGGGGTCAGCGGCCAGACCCAACATAACCTGACCCCCACTGAATAATTGACATACATGACCAGGTAGCAGCTATATCCACCACACACCTGTCCCACACCTGTAATAAGGTCCTACCACATACCTGTCCCACACCTGTAATAAGGCCCTACCACACACCTGTCCCACACCTGTAATAAGGCCCTACCACACACCTGTCCCACACCTGTAATAAGGCCCTACCACACACCTGTCCCACACCTGTAATAAGGCCCTACCACACACCTGTCCCACACTTGTAATAAGGCCTACCACACACCTGTCCCACACCTGTAATAAGGCCCCAACCACACACCTGTCCCACACTCTGTAATAAGGCCCTAACACACCTGTCCCACACCTGTAATAAGGCCCCAACCACACACCTGTCCCACACTTGCAATAAAGACCCACCTCACACGTACATAGTAACACACACACACACACACACACACACACACACACACACACACACACACACACACACACACACACACACACGTAGCACAGTGCCGTGGGGGGAGGGGAGGGTAGGGAGAGGATATGTGAAGAGAGGTGAGAGGAGGAAGAGGTGAAGGAGGAAGAGGATGCGGGGGGGAGGGGTTCATACACCTCATAGGGTCGATTTTCCTAATTCACTTTCAATGACTCTCACCCTTATGAATGGGCCTCGGTGCCATGTCGGGTTTTATGGTCGATTTTCCCGCTGTATATTGGATGATTCACTCCCTTAATGGACACAGCGGTAGCGACTCGGTAGTTACGTGGCCACCCGACCTGCCCAAATTGGAGTTGGAGTCAAGTTTGGGGGGTGGGGGGGAGGGAGAGAGGGAAAGGGGGTTGAAGTCATGTTTGGGTGGTGGGGAGGAAGGGGGAGGGGAAGGGGGAGTTGGAGTCAAGTTTGGGGGTGGGAGGGGAAAAGGGGGGAACGGGAGGGTGGGGAGGAAATGGGGGAAGAGGGTCCTTGGCTCACTAGACGTGTCCTCCTGTCCGGAGAGCCTATAATGGTCAGTAGGTTAGGTTAGGTTAGGTTTGGGGTGTGTTAGGTTAGGTCATGTTGTCTGGTGTAGGACAGGTTGAGTCAGTGAGCGGAATAATGACGGGGAATAATACATGATTGTGGGGAGTCACTCTTGTGTTACAGTGACAAACAACGGTCAAGGATACTCACCACAACACACCCACACCTACACACGATGAGGATATTAACAAATGATAATGGTGGTGATAACAACTATCAACGACATAATAATAAGAAGAATAATAGTAATAATAATGATAGTGATAATAATGATAGTAATAATAATGATAGTGATAATAATGATAATAATAATAATAATAATAATAATAATAATAATAATAATAATAATAATAGTAATAACAACAACAACAACACTACAGCAAAAAACTAACAAAAATAATAATAAATAAAAACAATAAATAAAAAAAACCTACACGCATACAATCAACAAACCAGACAGACAGACAGACAGACGTAACCAATAACAAAACACAATAGTGATCATCAGGAACTAACTCCTGATACGACGCCATAATGACACAAATGGTAGACTTTATCTCCCCGGGTGACAAATAATATTTCTCTTGTGGTAATATTCTGATACCAACCACAACCGTCTCTCAGCTCACCCACGTCTGTTTGTGTCTCAGTCTGTCTCACCCACGTCTATTTGTGTCTCAGTCTGTCTCACCCACGTCTGTTTGTGTCTCAGTCTGTTTCACCCACGTCTATTTGTGTCTCAGTCTGTCTCACCCACGTCTGTTTGTGTCTCAGTCTGTTTCACCCACGTCTGTTTGTGTCTCAGTCTGTCTCACCCACGTCTGTTTGTGTCTCAGTCTGTCTCACCCACGTCTGTTTGTGTCTCAGTCTGTCTCATCCACGTCTGTTTGTGTCTCAGTCTGTCTCACCCACGTCTGTTTGTGTCTCAGTCTGTCTCATCCACGTCTGTTTGTGTCTCAGTCTGTCTCACCCACGTCTGTTTGTGTCTCAGTCTGTCTCATCCACGTCTGTTTGTGTCTCAGTCTGTCACATCCACGTCTGTTTGTGTCTCAGTCTGTCTCACCCACGTCTGTTTGTGTCTCAGTCTGTCTCCACCCACGTCTACTTGTGTCTCAGTCTGTCTCACCCACGTCTGTTTGTGTCTCAGTCTGTCTCACCACGTCTGTTTGTGTCTCAGTCTGTCTCACCCACGTCTGTTTGTGTCTCAGTCTGTCTCACCCACGTCTATTTGTGTCTCAGTCTGTCTCACCCACGTCTAGTTGTGTCTCAGTCTGTCTCACCCACGTCTAGTTGAGTCTCAGTCTGTCTCACCACGTCTAGTTGTGTCTCAGTCTGTCTCACCCACGTCTAGTTGTGTCTCAGTCTGTCTCTCACCCACGTCTGTTTGTGTCTCAGTCTGTCTCACCCACGTCTATTTGTGTCTCAGTCTGTCTCACCCACGTCTACTTGTGTCTCAGTCTGTCTCACCCACGTCTAGTTGTGTCTCAGTCTGTCTCACCCACGTCTAGTTGTGTCTCAGTCTGTCTCACCCACGTCTGTTTGTGTCTCAGTCTGTCTCACCCACGTCTGTTTGTGTCTCAGTCTGTCTCATCCACGTCTGTTTGTGTCTCAGTCTGTCTCACCCACGTCTATTTGTGTCTCAGTCTGTCTCACCCACGTCTACTTGTGTCTCAGTCTCACTCGCCTCTGTTTGGAATTCTTGTGTGTTTAACCTCGCCCCGTGTTTACTTATGTATGTGTGCGATTAATGTTACGTTTTGCAAACTTTTTCTTTTTTGTGGGGGGGGAGGAGGGAGGAGGGGAGGGAGTTTAATAGTTTGTTGTTGTTTTTCTTTCTTTACTCATTCTTATTCTTTTCGCGCACACACACACACACACACAACATTCTCTCTCCACATTTTTCCCATTGATCTTTGTTCTTCCTTCCTTTACCTTCCTCCTTCTCTTCTCCTACTCTCCCTCTCTTCACGTTCCTTTTCACCCGTTTTTCCTGCCTCACTCCTCCTCCTTCTCTCCCTGTGTGTGGTAGAGAGAAGGGCGGACACTCACTGGTCTCTGGAGTGAATACAAATGTTGTGTTTACATAAAACATAGTGTGCTCGGTGCTGGACAGTGGCCCTGACCCACACACACACCAGGTCACCTCCACGGCCCTGGCCCTCTGACACACACACACACACACACACACACTGCCCCAACCCCAACAAACACTAATTAACCTTTTCCAACACAATGAGAGGTCTAGGGGCTCTTCCACGCTCGTCATCGCTTCCTTCCCCTACGCTCGTTACTCACACAATGGAGGGTCTGGTCAAGGGTGGGGAGCTTATATATACACCCCTCTTCCCCACCCCCTCCCCAGAGTGATCCACCAGATGATTATAGTCGCCGCCTCACTCCTGACATCTGGTGGCAGGGAGGTTAACTACACGAGGTTATGGTAGCATTACTGGGGGCTGGATAAATTGGCTCTATTGCTCATAGGTGCTAGTTCTAATAGCTGTTAGTACTAATAGCTGCTAGTGCTAGTACGTGCTAGTGATAATAGGTGCCAGTTCTAATAGGTGACAGGTCTAGAAGGCTCCATCTTAACCACAACATTTAGGTCAGAGAGAGAAAAAAAAAAAAAAAAAAAAGAGAGAGAGAGAGAGAGAGAGAGATCACACGAATAAAAATAACCATCCCTACGTCAACCCCGTCATATTAATTCCGGGTTCCATTCCAGTTTCCGAAGGTTCCTGTACGGTATCACCTTAACGGGGCTGTGAGGACGCATCTAAATGGCTCACTTAAAATTACGACACACACACACACACACACACACACACACATAAGCGGGATTCTGTAAAGTCCGTAGGATATATTTTTTCTCCCTAAAGTGAAATATGGGGTTAGGTTAGGTACAGACAGATACAGATAGATATAGATACAGACAGACAGACAGACAGACATAACCATTTATTTCAGCACAACATGACGATCGAGAGGCTGAAGGCAGACCATTCTACCATCTTGTTATCGAAGGCTTTCTGGCTGGGCTTGTTATGCTCTAAAAGGCTTACCTCCAAGACTCCCAGTGGGCTTGTTAACGGCCGTCAGCCAATCAACAGCCTTGTTACTTGTGGTGTATCTTGTGGCACATGATTACTGGGGGAAAAGAGAGAGAGAGAGAGAGAGAGAGAGAGAGAGAGAGAGAGAGAGAGAGAGAGAGAGAGAGAGAGAGAGAGAGAGAGAGAGAGAGAGAGAGAGAGAGACCCATCCACTACCCCCAATATAACGAATGACCATCACTCCCCACATAACGAACACCACTACTATCCCTACCCAATGTTTACATTGTCAGCTGATTGATGTCACCCATAAACACACACACACACACACACACACACACACACACACACACACACACACACACACACACACACCTCGGTCTCTTTCGCTGTTATGACAACCTGAACCCTATTGACTAAGAGATTACACCTGATTACCTTCCTCATCTACCTGGTCGTCATGGCAACTCGAGTCATTTACCTTATGACATCAGGGAAGCCAAAGTAATGATGATTAATAGACAGGGAAGAAGACCTAGTACAGGTAATCTTGGTCTTAATTAACCAACTGTATGTCGAGATGTTCTGCACTGAGGAATGTTATTGTTGTTTGTTGTTGTTTTCGTTACTATTGTTGTTGCTGTTGTTATTATTACTGTTGTTGTTATTTTTGGTACTAAGGCTAAGGGCAATTATTATTATTATTATTATTATTATTATTATTATTATTATTATTATTATTATTATTATTCAGTTCTATTGTAAAAAATATTGGAATTTGTGTGTGTGTGTGTGTGTGTGTGTGTGTGTGTGAGAGAGAGAGAGAGAGAGAGAGAGAGAGAGAGAGAGAGAGAGAGAGAGAGAGAGAGAGAGAGAGAGAGAGAGAGAGAGAGAGAGAGAGAGAGAGAGACTCATTATACCCGTCTTCAGTAAAAAGACTCGAGAATCATGTGGACAGGAGGGGTGAGGGGGGGAGGGAGGAAGGGAGGGGGAGGAGAGAAAAGGGGGAAGTGGAGGAGGGAGGAGAAAGATTACCCCAGTTATATGGTGATTAGTGGAGTGAAGCAGAAACGAGGTCGTTAGCGAATGATAGAGGGAGGAGGAGGCGAGGAGGAAGCGGAGGAAGAGGAGGATAAAGAGGAGGTGGAGGAGGAGGATAAAGAGGAGGAGGAAGGGGAAGGAGGAGTTTACAGGATTACTGGGTTAGGAATCTCTGTCTCTATTCTCTCGAAGTTGTGTGTGTGTGTGTGTGTGTGTGTGTGTGTGTGTGTGTGTGTGTGTGTGTGTGTGTGTGTGTGTGTGTGAGGCACCATAAGACAACAGGTATATAACTAACTAACACGTCGTTCTTGTCCTCCACACAGGAAACAGCGACACAAGAGAACCCACAAGAAACGACGACGTGCACGACACTACTGACGACGACGACGACGACGACGAAGATTCAGATGCTTCCACTTCGTCATTATCATCGTCAGTTTCCAAGTCATCGTCATCGTCAACACTAACGTCGTTCTCTGGAGGTGGTGGTGAGGGGGAGGGTTCCAAGACATCCTCGTCATCGTCTTCTGCGTCATCGTCGTCGTCGTCTTCTTGTTCTGATTCTTCCTCCTCCTCCTCCTCGTCATCGTCTTTGTCATCGTCTTCGTCTTCCTCGTCAGATTCGTCAGATATTGAGGATCTGATTCTCTGATGAGGTCGTCTAGTGATTCTTTAAGCTGACCACACTACCACTACTACCACCACAACACCACTATTACCACTAACACCACCACTATTACCACCACCACACTACCACTATTACCACCACATCACTACCACCACTGTTTCCCTTTAACTGGGAATGAGAGGATGTATCTAACGGGTGACTCACAATACTATAACACAAACAACACAATAAACACTTATGTTTAGACTAGTTAGTAACGAGATGCGCTTCTTATCCTAAGTTAAGGACACAAGTCATTACCGTTTGAGTCGCTGAGAATCTGGACAAAGATATATTTGAGGTTCTCGTGTGGTGAGTTGAGGCGATTTTCAGGGTAAATAGATTTATCAATGGTGCAGTACACTCTCCTCTTCAGACCTTGTTGACTGGTCGGTGGACAGAGGAGAGCTGTGTCTGTCCAGTGTCTAATGTAAACAAAGCCACGTCACTCTTTGTAAACAAAGCCACGTCACTCTTTGTTAAAATTGCCACGTGACACTTTGTAAACAAATCCACATAACTTTTTTGTAAACAAAGACATGTCACTCTTTTTAAACATTGCCACGTGACATTTGTAAACATTACCACGTGACACTTTGTAAGCAAAGCCACATGATTTTTTGTAAATAAAGCCACGTCACTCCTTGTAAACATTGCCACGTGATATTTTGTAAACATTGCCACGTGACATTGTTAAAAAAGTCACGTGATTTTTTGTAAACATTGCAACGTGACTTTATGTAAACATTGTCACGTGACTCTTAGTAAACAAAGCCACGTGACATTTTGTAAACAAAGCCACGCTACTTTTTGTAAACATTGCCACGTGATTTTCTTGACACTTTTACTTGTGCTAACATAGAGCCAGTCATTACAGAGACATTATACGTGTACTTATATTAAGTGACAGAAACGATAAGCAAGAAATACAACAACCAATAGGAAACTTTGGAACCGAGTTAAAAAATCATCCCAACAAAAGATGATAATAAGCTATAAATTTGCATGTATAATTCTATATAATACAAAATCCTTCTGGGTGCCGTAGAAATTTAAATAGCTTAACAAATTTTAAAACACATTTAAAGATATAAAAATATAGTGTTAGAACCTGTGAATATGCTTAGGATTATCACTTAGGTGCGAGAAACATTGGAGCCACTGGATGAAACGTTATGTATTGGGAGTAAAGTTGGCCCTGGCGTCAACGACAACAAACCGGAGTGGAGACGAGCGAGGTTCGACGAACGCTGTGACGTCACCGCCATATACTGCTGTCCCTTAAAATCCTTGTTATGCATCAGATTTATGTATTTTTTATACATATACACATGTATCTTAAGGCCTGTATCAGAGTATCATTGAGAAGATTAACGCTTATAGCTCTAGATATAATTCTAAATCATTTTTATTGTTAATTATGTAACAAGTAGATGAAACTGATTCATTTTAGATTGATATTTAATTAACTTATAAAACAGCTTCAGTGTTACGTTATTAAGTAACTTTTAAAGTCTAAAATAAGTCGATTTAAGACAAACTTTAGTGACATCTAAACACCTTAATATTATCACTAGATTTGACTTAGTATAATATATTGTAGAATGAAAACAATGGACCTCATTGTACAGCCTTGTGGTAACCTAACCTGAACCTTCAATAACTTAACCTAACCTAATCTAACCTAACCTGAGCCTTCAATAACTTAACCTAACCTAATCTAACCTAACCTGAACCTTCAATAACTTAACCTAACCTAATCTAACCTAACCTGAGCCTTCAATAACTTAACCTAACCTAATCTAACCTAACCTGAACCTTCAATAACTTAACCTAACCTAATCTAACCTAACCTGAACCTTCAATAACTTAACCTAACCTAATCTAACCTAACCTGAACCTTCAATAACTTAACCTAACCTGAACCTTCAATAACTTAACCTAACCTAATCTAACCTAACCTGAGCCTTCAATAACCTAACCAAACCATTAGTACAGGCATATGTATATAAAGCCTGAAGCCTATAAGAATTAGTCCCCCTTGAAGATTAGGAGGAAGGAGGGACTAATTTACCATCACCAAACACACACACACACACACACACACACACACACACACACACACACACACACACACACACACACACACACACACACACACACACACACACCTGACGGCTCACAGTGACACAACACAGGGTGAGGATCGAACTCGTACCAGGTAAATACTGTACTAATTAACATAGAAAAATAAGGTAAGTTTTGAATTACATCCAAGACATCGTGCCAAAAGAGACAAGAATATAGTTCTATATATATATATATATATATATATATATATATATATATATATATATATATATATATATATATTATATATATATATATATATATATATATATATATATATATATATATATATATATATATATATATATATATAAATATATATATAAACCTCTATTTAACGGACTATAGAAGAATGTCCGTTATACTGAGGGTCCGTTAAATGTCTAATGAATTATAGAGGTGAAAGACCGGTATATCGAGGATCCGTTAAATGTGAAACCCCCATCTAACTGACTACTGTATATAGAGATAAAATTCCGTTATATGGAGGTTTCACATATTCATATTAATCCCATATATAAATATAAACAACATATATATACATAATATATATTTTGTATTTTTCGAGTGACGTTTCCTCCTACACACATCAGTTGTTACTGTATCAACGCTGTATTCTAAATTATGCATATCAAAGTGCTGTATTGACTCTCCTGTATTAATAAAGATTTCACGATATTCCTCCCCATTAACATTATATATTTCTTCTATATAATGTTGACAAATAAAGTTCTTTTTCTTGAATTACTTTTTAGTCTATCCTTCAACTTTCTTAACAAAAAATAAATAAATTAAAAAATATGGGAAAATATAAATGGAAAAAAATATAGAAAAAACATTATACAAACAAATAAAAAAGGATGAATAAATAATGAAAGTAAAATTATAAAAAGGTAAAATAAAAATAGATGTAAACAATAAAATAATAATAACAATAACATCAATAACATCAACAATCACACCAATATCAGTAATAACAATAACATGAACAATAACGTCAATAATTATACAATAACAAGAACAATAACGCCGATAATTATAACAATAACAAGAACAACAACGCCAATAATTATAACAATATAAATAATAACAATAACAAGAACACTAACGCCAATAATTATACAATAACAAGAACAATAACGTCAATAATTATAACAATAACAAGAACAACAACGCCAATAATTATAACAATATAAATAATAACAATAACAAGAACAATAACGCCAATAATTATAACAATATCAATAACACCAATATCAGTAATAACAATAACAAGAACAATAACACCAATATCAATAAAAACAATAACACCAATAATAAAAATAAATAATAAATAACACCAATAACGATAAAATTACAGACTCTAGGTAAAATAATGTGTTATATCCTAGCCAAGTTTACTAACACCATTATGCAAATTCTGCGCCACAATGAACCTCCACTATTTACACAACAATGAAAATACCTTTTTTATTCATCGGTGTAAACAAGAGGATTAGACCATGTTGTTCCCTTCAATATTATGTATCCACTAATTATCAGGAATTTACCATATAATTAAGAATATATAATTAATTTGAATGAAGGTAAAAAACTCAATTAAATATTTCGTACCTAGCCCGCGACTGAACCTAATTTAATCTAACCTAACTTAACCTAACCCAACTCTAATATATCCTAACCTAACCCTGATATAACCAAACTTAACATGCCCTGAAATAACCTAACTTAACCTGCCCTGAAATGACCAAACTTACCCTAACCCACCCCTAATATATCCAAACCTAAACCTAGCTTAACTTAACCTAACCCGGAAATAACCTCCCTTAACCTAACCCACCCTTAATATAACCTAAACTAACCTAACTCACCTTGAAATAACCTAATGTACCCTAACCAAACCTAACTTACCCCTGAAGTAACCTAACCTAACCCTAACCTAACTTAGCCTAACTTACCACCGCTGGTCTGAGTGTGAGTTATGTTGTAAGTTATATAGTCAGAGTTTGTTAGTTGTGGCTGTGTAGAGCATTAGGATGATATTGTGTGAGGTAACGCTATCT